GCTGGATGACACCATTATAAATAGTGCTATTGTTGTTGCTGTAATGATCCACACATACGGTAGAAGCAAGATTTGGGAGATGAGGGAATATCTTTCATTGGACCAAACCTGTACAGTTGGGAGAGAAAGCAGACAAGTTTGAGCCTTCAACTATTCTGCAAGTAGCCATGCCTGGATTGTGTATGCTTCTTTCCCAGATCTGTTGAGGGGCGCTTGATGTTCAAAAGCTTGTCTGCTCACTCTCTCCCAACTGTACAGAGCATTCCAATAAAAGGCAGAGATGTGCCACAGCAGATTTGTGCCCTGGGCAACACCTGGGGCAGCACCATCTGCTGCGCTGCAGATGACCTGGCCAGTTGCCAGCTGTGGCAGGAGTTATTTTTGTGCCCCTTGCCAAAAGAACTGCCCATGGCTGCTGCCCCATCATCCGCCCTTGGTTATGCTATTGAAGAAAGGATATTACCTCCCCTCACAAATCAGCTTCTCACTTTTTTATAAGCTTGAGGAATAGAAGTCAAGGAGATTTCAAAATGGCTGTCTTGACGCATCTTCAAGCTGGCCATGGCACCTGTACGTGTGTGTGTGGTAGTCACGAGCTGTTAGTTTCCTGCCAACCTCTGGCGGGCCACAGGTAGAAAAGTTGTGAGTGTTTGAGAAGGTGAGTCAATACACACTTTATTGTAAAATATATCCATGGCCCTGCTTTCCCCTGTATTTTGCCAGCTCCATCCAAAGCAGAGACTGCCAAACAAACCTATTATGCTTTGTGCAACTGCCAGAGTGTTAATTTGCAACACATGTTTGGGGACTCATCCATTTCCCATGTTTAACTTATTTTCAGTGCGTAGCCCTGCTCTCCAGGCAGAGCGCTACACTAATGCTCTAGGCACATCCATTCCCAGCACACATGCAGCTCTGCTGCAGACAGGTCCATCTGGGCTTGCTGGAAGCTGCACTTGCCCCACTTGGCTGAATCCGGACCTTGTTTTTTTTTTCTGATGTTATTAAACTAAAATCTCATTGAATCCAGGTGTATCATTTAAGGAAAAGTTTTGTATAGTAAGAAAAGAATATCACCTCAACATAAAGTACTAGGTGGCAGGTGATGAATAACATGTTCTGGAGATGTTTGGGGAGGGGGAGCAACTTTGTGTAGCTGATGCCCTTAGTATACCCTGCAGTGCAAGCTACCAGGAACATCCATGCACCACTTGGGAGGGAGTGAATGCATTGATTTGCAAGGACTGCAGAGTGGTGCATCTGACACCTCAAAGCCTGGCTGCTGCCACCAGTGATAACCTCACACTATCCTTTCTGATCTATAAGGCCATAACATCAAGCAGCTAAAGGCCCCACTGGCCAGGGGGCTGCAGGCAGCAGAGCCATGGATGTTTGTATCTGTCACCCAGAGCGAGGCACCGGCGGGGATGTATCTAACAAACTCTTTTGTGAGCACTGGGAACAGTTTTTACTTTTAACTCTGTCAATATGATCTAGCTCTGTCTGTCTCTCTCTATATATGTACAAACAGTATATCACAATGTTGCCTTTTTTGTTGGGAATATCAAAGTACAAAGATTGTAAACCAAATCGGTGTAATAAAAGTTTCAGATGATTCACTGACTTGTCTCTCAGTTGCAAGTGTTTGCATGTCAGAGCCTGTGGGCACTGTCAGGCCACTCCAGTGTTAGTTAAAGGTCAGGGAGTGAACATTGTTTTGACCCTGAACCATTCACAAGGCAAAAGGGCATTACCATGGCAGGCCTACTGTGGTTCAGACCTCCTGCAGGAGGAATCAAGGGAGCTAGAGAGTCCCATGTGTGACCCCTTTCCTCTTACTCTCCTCTGGTATCTAGTGGACTGGGCCCAACAAACATTTTCCCTCCAGCCCAGAGGAGTCTGAGTGAGGCAATGTTGCTCTGTGCCTCTTACACAGATGTCTTGTGTTCACAGGGATATTGCTTCTTTCTTCTTGCTTTGATAGGAAGAATCTCACTCTCATAAGTCAAGAGAAGCAGTTCTGTGTTTGGCAAGACTGCCTGATGCTTTCTCTTCAGTGCTGAGAGAAGTCTGTAAGGTAGAGAGTGCTGGATGAAGTATAGCTTGGATGTTCAAATCCCTCTGGCCTGCAGATCAGTGCCAAACAACTTCTTGAAAACGGGTTCCAGGAGAACGGCCATACTACAGTGAGTGTTGTAAAATGAACCTCACCTATTCCCATAGCAATGCCAGTGAAAATCTAAGGCAGCATAGCACAAGATGTTCCCCCTCCCTTGGTGAATACTGTCAGAGATGCTATTGGACATAATGCTTTAGATTCACCACACTTCTACCTTTGGCTGTAGACAGTTTTAATAAAAATAGAGGCCAAACCTCAGCTGGATCAATAACTCAAGAAAAGCTCTTGATCAACTACACACAATTCAACCCCCCTCTCTCCCCATCCAAACCACTACACACCCTAGACCAGTGGTTTTCAAGCTTTTTTCTACCAGGACCCATTTGTAAACATCAATGGCCAGCCCTGACCCACTGCCCCCCTGGCTCCAGGCCTCAACCCACCAGTGTGTGGGGCAAGGGGTAGGTGTGTGGGATGGGGTGAGGGAGGGGTATGGGGCATGGGGAGACCCAAGCAGCCCCTTGTGGGCTGGAGCTCTGCCAGCCTGCAAGGGGAAAGGCATGGTTTCCCACATTTTTATCCTTGAAAGGAGAATCCATTTTTAAAGTTTACTGATCCATTTTTTTAAGTTTGTTCATGAAACCCAAAACTCCCTTTTGGGTTGTGACCCCTGGGTTGAGAAACGTTGCCTTAGACCACCCTTCAGGGAAAAGCCTAATGAAGCAGCATGCCCTGCAGGTAAGGTCTGAAACAGAACTTCTGATGTAGGAAGTGTTCAAAAACACTTCACAGCTGAGGCAGGAGCCTGTCACTTGGATTCATTCCCCCTAATGATCCTGGCTTGAACACATTACTGGGACTCATTTTGAATCCTGGGTGACATGACAGACAGCAGAACTTGGCTTCAGGCACTTTGAGGGGTTGAACTTAGAGGCACGTTGCCTCCATGAGGCCACATCAGATCCAGTTCCTACCTTACCATTGACCCGTGAGCCAGGATGATGTCAATCTAACAAAGCATGGATAGAATTAGAAAGCTTGCAAGAATTAGAGTTTTACTCATTTGGAGTGGTTTGTCTACTCCCCAAATTTTTGCACTTTAACTGGAAGCTGTGGATGAAAAATAACCTTGGGATAAAAACAAAGTGCAGAAACCTGGGTGGTTGCAGCTTTATAAAAACTGAAAAAAATTCAGACGATCAAGCCTATGTGTGGGGTGAGCTGACCTAAAACAGGTGGTTTCCTATCCTGTTTGCTCCTTCTTGGTCACTGTGCTCTCATGTAGTGAGTTCTGAGAGTGGCCACCCAGTGCTGGGTACAGGGTTGTCATCTGCCATCCTGTTTTCCCCTTGCCAAAAACAACATCGCTCTGCTGCAAGGTGGTACAATGTGGGAGACCTGGGTTTGGCAGTGATGTGTCTATTCATTGTATTCAGTCTCACTGTAGCAGTGAGCTTCATGGTTTCAAGACAAAGGCTGCTCCAAAGGTCAGCTATAAGACACCCTGGCAGGTGAGCATAAAGCAAGGAAAGCAGATGAACTGAGAAAAATCTGAATGGAGGTGTGTGCGCTGAATGGGAGAGTATGCTTTGGCTGGTGGGAGTTCTCTGGGAACCTAGCTTGGTTGCAGATATGGAGAAAAGACCAAACCCCAAGCATGCCGGATGAAAGAACCCAATGACAATCTTCTTTGGGGTCCAGGTGCTAGGTAGGTCCTGTCTGCTGAGACCTTTTCTACTTCCTTGATCCCCCTTCCCCACACACACAGATACTCATGTTTAGCACCAGCTCCTCAGTGAAAAGAAGCATTTCATTTCAATAGCTGCAGAGCAAAATAACCATGTATGAAAGACTAATCCAACTATGGGAGCTTTTCTTGGGGGGAGTTTGATTGCTGCAGGGTCTTCAGACGGGCTATCTCCTGGTTGGCCCTCAGGGTCTGGTTAATGAGGTACTCGCTCTCCTGTCCCACCTCTGCCAGGCGTAGGTCAAATTCAGTCATGGTTTTGTTATCTGACATTCCTTCCAACAGCTGCTTCCCACCATCCTAGAATCAGAAAGGAGGTGGATGAGAAGTGTGAACCAGGAAAGGGGGAGACCTTCAACTAAGAGTCGCTGCTATCTGTTCCCCATCATCACACTAACTTTCACTGGCATTCCCCTACTGCCTGCAGGTAGGGCAGAAAAGGGCACATGTGTTTCCCCTTCACATCTGGGGAGGCTGTACATTACAGTGAATAAAACCTGGGGGAAAGGTCCGGAGTAAGAGCCTACATCTCACAAACTAAGACTTTCACCCAAGACTAAAATATCACTCACAAGGGAATGGCAGGAAAGGACAGTAACCTTATGCAGTGCACAGTGAGATGATGTTTGCTAATGACTCCCTCTGGGTATCATGTCAGTGGTTTTCAGGCTCATGGCTCCTAAATAGCACAGACTGAGATGAAAATCTGAAGGAGCTGTCCTGTCACCCGTTCACCTGCTCACAGTTGGGTAAAGACAAGTGCCAGCACAATAAAATGTACTGCTGGAATCCAGAAAATGTCACGAGTTCTATTCTGCTGGCTTTCTCCTCAGTGTACATCCACACTGTTGATGATTGTGTAGATACCCCAGATAGCTTTACACTAGCTAGGCTGGGTCCAGTAGCAGTCTAGCCACAGCAGCATGAAGCTCAGCATAGGCTAATTTACCAAGCCCCTCGGGGGCAACCCTCTCTAAGCTCAATGTTGCCCTGGCTGGCCTGCTACCAGCACCTGAGCCAGCTGATATACAGACTCATTGCAGACACCATGTCATGGAAGACATATTTGGAGTGGTAGACCCTCCCATGCAGTGGACATCCAATTTACTTAAGACATTCAAGCTATGAAGGAAAATGTTGCCAAGATCTCAGGTGTTCAGGTTTTGGAGTCAACTCACTTTGGTGGTGTCACCTCCCTCTTCCGCTAACATCATCCCTAGGGAATAGGACCATCACACTTGTTTTTGACTTGTTATATCTCAAACATTTCCAACCTGCACCCATCAGATACCACATACATTGGATGCAAAGCCCAACTTTTGCTGTTTGGGGTGGCCTGCTGCCATTTAGGCCTCTTTCAAACATGGCAGAAAGTAAGCAAAGAAAGGAAGGTCTCTTGTTGAAATGAACAGCAATGCAGATGCATATCAGCAGGGTGACTCTGGCATGCCTCCAGTGGCTTGATCAGAGGCTTGGGGGTCAAAACTCTTGGACTGTATCCCCACATCTAGGAGTAGAGTGTTATTTAGTGGTTACAGCAGGGGACTGGGAACTAAGACTCTGGCCTTTCAGCTACAGCTCTACTGCTGACTTTCTGGGGAAACTCAAGTGAACCTCAGCCCCTCTCTGTGCCTCAGTTTCCTCATCTGTAAAATGGAGACAATAAAACAGATCCTGGTCGCTAGGTACTCTGAAGCTGTATTCACGGATATCAGTAACATTGCCTTGATATGCTTAGATGGAAGGTACTAAACATTATGATTATTATTTAAAAGTATAAAAAACTCAGCAAAAAAGCCCTTTGGTCTTTGCTTTGCTACGTTCAAGCTTTTTCATGTTTATGTGATAATAAGAAATGGAACTAATGAGACACTTTCTATCCTCAAAGCTCTTTGAAAACACTGGCTAGTAACCAAATCTGACAATCCTGTGAAGCAGGCAGATAGGCACAGCAAATCTTGCTACCTCTGCATTATACCAAGAGGGAAACAGAGGCAGAGAGAACTTAAAAGGTAGCCTTTTCAAACCTGGCTGCACAACATTGTTACTAAATCAGCTAAACAGAAGAAATCTGATCTTCAGAGATGTGGGGCATTTGCAGCTTTGAGGGCATGTCTAAACTGGTGGTAGAGCTCAGCATCACCCCGACCATAAACTCTAGCTGTATGTTCCCACTCCACGTGCATCAACTGCAGAAATGAGGTGGAGAGGATGCTCTGTGAGCACTGCTTGGACTGTGCCCCAGAGTTAAGTTTTTGCTGTGCTTGTGATGGCACCATGGGGCACTCCCAGGGTGTTTCCACTGCCTCATGTCTGTCTGGGGCTGACATGTGGAGTGGGGTGGATGATGGTGCACAAGGCCATAGTAGGGAAACTGAGCACCCTGCTGCTGCAGCATAGACCTGCCCTTGTTAACATCAGTAGGATTTACACATGCTCAATTTTCAGTTTGGAAAATTGGGGCCCTGAGACACACCAGCCAAATGGTCAGTACCAGATTTGAAAATTCTGGCCCACAGGACTTGGAAAGTTTTGGGAAGACTCCAGTGGCAGTGCTGAGAGTTATGTGAGCTCAGCAACTCAGCCAGTTTTTTAACTCTGGTCTGTATCTGGCTGGCTGGGGGAGGTTGTGATGAGAGTGAGACCTTCCCGTTTGTGCACTGCTGAGACAGAAGAGCTGCAAGGGGACAGATGTCTCAGCCAGACTTTCATATGGCACTACCATTCCCATAGCACCTTCCTTTCTAATCTGGAAACCTCTTCCCAGATTGTGTGCAGTAACCATGACACCCGTAGGAAGATGTCCTGAATTTTCTGGGGAAACACCCCCCAGCAATCTCTTGATGCCCAAAGCAGGAAATACAGACTCAATGCAAGGGCCACGTAGCACTGCAAGGAGTTTGAAACAAAGGAATCCCCCCCTTCTTTAGTGATGTTTGCTGTAATCTCTCTGCTGCTAGTAACTTGCAATAATCACTTTAGATGTGTGTGACAAAGGGATACATTCAGCTCCCTAGAGAAGGGTAGCAGTTCAGAGGCAGAAGGAGATCTGCATCTGCTTTATATAAAATTACCCAGACAGATGCACCAAGACAGCACTAGCTGCTGTGACTGCAGCACACAGAAATTATTTCTTTTGCAGGTGCAGAAGCTACTTACCAGTCCTATGTGGTTGCATGAGAGGTTGATGCTAGTCAGAGCTGTGTTTTGAGCAAGGACTAGAGAGAAAAGTGTCGCTGTGGGCTCTGACAGCTCATTGCCTGCCAGATTAATGGATCTCAGGGAGGAATTGCTCAGCAAGGCGTGGCCTATGGCTTGCCCTCCCTCATCCTCGATGCAGTTGAGGCGCAAGTTCAAAGATATCAGTGTTGAATTCTTAGTGAGAGCATGAGCAATCGCCTGGGCACCTGGGGGCCGAATCTGGTTATTGCACAGGGTGAGGATTTCTAGTCTGCTATGGTTCATCAATTTGCCAATGGCTCTCGCTCCTCGGTCCCCAATCAGATTGTGAGAGAAGTCCAGCTCCACCAGGCATGGGTGGTCCAACAAGTTCCGAATCAGCAGCCGGGCCTTGTCATCATCCACTTTGCTGCGGGTCAGTTTGAAGACCTGTAGGAGGAAAAGAACATGACACTTTTTGGCACAGACCCCACTGACATTTCGCATGAGATTTTTACATGTACCCAATGAATGAGATTCACACTTCTACCCTCTTTGGAGAGCACTTACTAAATTCACCTTAGCTTACAGTTTAATAGCCACTGTTTGAACTGTAGCCCAAACACAACAAGATACCATCTTTGTGGTACTAGTCTTTTTAAGGGGCTTTGTTTATCCCTCACTAAAGGAATTTTGCAGTCTTAAATTTTCCCCAAGATGGGACCTCTATGGCTATGGAAGAGATCATTTCATTTAACATACATAGGCAGAAGGCACTTCCTAAAGTCTGCCAAGCCAGAGACAGAGCACGAGCAGTCAGGTAAGTTTGACTTTGCTCTGTGTGAATATACAGTGGGCCAGAGTCTCTGAATCACTCTGAATCTCAGAATCACTGGGGAGTTGAGGTTTCTGCTGTTACCCAGAAAGAAACACCTTCCATGCTCCCACACTTCCCCTTGATCCCTTCATATCTGTGCTGCTGGAGGCATCCTGCCCTGTTTATTATTTAATCAACATTTTTGATGTTCATTTGCTTATAACCCCTCTTCCCCTCCACAACTTAAGGAAAAAAATGCCTCCCTGTCCCCTTTACAATTATCCAAACAGGTGCAATAGGAGTGCTTTCAATACCACTCCTCTCAGTGAATGGCAAGGTCATATTAGCTGAGTCCCTGGCCACACAACACCCTAGACAACCCACCCCCAAAAGCAAGTAGCAGGAGACTTAAGTTTCACTTCAAACACTCAGTTAGATTGGCACGGCAAAAAGGAAAGCCCTGCAGTCAGCTAACAAAGACAGTTGCTCACAAGCTCAAGGAATCTTCACGTTGTATCATTCCACTCAGCTCAGTCTGGCTCTGGTGCCACCCTACAGATTCTGTACCTCAGTGGCTTATACTGGGAGTGTCTACACATGCAATTAGTTTGAAGCATAAACACTGATGTTTATTGCACTCGAGTTTACTGATCCCAGGCAGGCTGCTTGAACATGCACCTGGGATCACAGCACATTGAGGCAAGAGCAGCCCCAGCTGGCAGGGGGCCCAACGTGCTGCAGAGGGGCTGGCTGGGGCATGAGGGTGCTCCAGTGAAAAACTCTGCAGCAAGATAGTACTTGTATTTACAAGTACTACCCTGATGTGGAGTTAATTAGTTTCCTGTGGCCTAATAGAGCCACATGTATAGATGCAAAGATGTTTACTGCAGAGCTAATTAATCTACTCCCCAATAATGACTCATGTAGACATATCTGCTGGATCTTAATTTAGCCATTGGTGTGGCATGAACTACATCTTAAATAGTTTTCTGGGTTTGTGATTTGGGCATGGCCTCTACATATTACAGTGAACTGCACTCTACGAATACACTTGGGCATCAGATTTCAAACTTTGCCTAAGAGGGTTAAACTATTTGGCTACTTGAATGAGGCATTTAGAAACTGCCCAAAGACTGGCCAGACTAAGAGTGAGAAGCAAGCAACACTTGTCTTTTAGGCTTTTTCCTACAGTAGTTTTGGCCCTGTTTAAGCATACACCTTAAAATATGTGTATGTGTGCATGACAGAGAAAAATCAGCTCGGAGCATGTTACTTTCAAGCTTTGGCACTTCTTAAGACCCTTGGCCAGATTAGAACAGTCCTTAGAGGTGAAGTTAAACAGTTTCCATTCAAAGTTCATGCCACAATCCTTCACTCCATAGGACAGATTCAGCTCTTCTAGATGAGGGAGGGCAACAATGAGCCCCCCTATGTCATAGTGGTGCATGGAGAGTTCATCAATCTCAACATCACTCCCAGAATCAGACAGGTCTTCCTCTTCCTTCTTCTCATCCAGCTTCACTGGAGGGAGGAACTGGTCGATCTCCAGCTTCCTGACATAGTCCTTGCAGAGTGGGATGGCATCCAGGATCCGATCAGGGTCTGTTACATTAGGGACAAAGTATTTGAGGATGTTCTCCAGGTGGCGTTCAAAGAACATCCGCTTCCAGCTGCCCCCATAGCAGGAGACATCACAGACTGTCCAACACTCAGTGCAGCACCTCTTCCAGTAGCCTTCATCGCTGATCAGGTTGGCTGTCACAGAGAGGGGAAGGCCTGTGGAGATCCTGTCCAGCACTCTCTTTTTGTGCTCAGGCAGGAGATGGTTCAAAATAGGTTTCTCTGTGGAGAATAAGGAAGAAAAGCAGACTAATCCAATCCTCCTAGAAATATCATGTTAATTTTTTAAGCCAGACCTATTAACATTAGTTCTTTACATTTGGCAAACAGTGATTTTATAAGATGCTTGGGAATAGCATCTGTTTATTTAGCTCCCCATCTGTGGCCCCCAAAAGTAGTGAACCACACATATTCTGGGCTCTACATAGAAGTGGCTAGCAATTGTATTTTTCTTGCTACATGGATCTATCATTGTCAATTCTGCTTTTAGTTACAGAAGTTTAAATCCCAAGTAACACCACAGAGTTACTCTAATCTTACACAGCAAGATTTGGCCTGTTTTGTGAATTTTCCTCTCTCAGATTATAACCATTATCAGGGAATATATTTGAACCTGCGTAAGTGCTCTTCATAAAACTTTTGGCTTTGCACCTGGGTTCTTGAGACTGTGGTATTGATAGTTTCCCACTTCCTGTCCAATGAGCCCCTCTTCAATTCCGTCTCCTATCTGTGAGCTCCCTCAACTCTTTTGTCTGAACTACTCTCACATGTCTCAGCTTGGTTCTTTTACCCTGGAAGGTCTACACGGCTGGGAGTGCCTGTGAAATGCCATGTATGTTTTCAGCGCTATGTACATGGTTTGTATTAAATCACTGCCATCCTAATAGATTGATGAAGACCTGTCTGTACAAGGAAAATTGTAATTGAGAAGAAAAGCTGTGTGACACTTACCCATTCTTTCTCTTCTTGGCATTTCCCTTACAAAAGAGTTCTGCATAAGACCATAGAGCGTTTCCCTAGAAACTTTTCCTTTATGTCCCCTGCACTCTCCTTCCAAACTCCAAACCATTAGGACTGCAGTGACCTTCTCTTAGGATACGCCTCCATTGCAGCATGTGTTGGCAAATCCATATTTGCTGTAATTTAGCTTGCTCAGGCAATAACAGCAATGAAGATGGGCTGGCACAGATTTCACAGGGGACCAGCTGCCCATTTAAATACTGAAAACCCCTGGCAGGCTCAGATGTTCTGTGTTGAAGCCCATGCTACTGCAATTTCACTGCTGCTACTGGCACCCATGCTAATGAAAACTAGGGCAGGCATGCCCACCTCCCTGTGCTGCTATCCTGCCTCCTGACTCCAGTCTTGATGACCACAGGAAGGGACCTCCTTCCCCACCTGCTCCCACTAAACTGCCATGCCCAAGCAGTTTGGGAGTCAGACTTTTGCTGTTTCTTCTCAGTTCGTGTACTCCGGGGGAAAATTCCCCGCCCAAAGAGGCTGCCATTCTTGGCTTGTCACATGACAACCAATCCTTGTGGAAACATGAGCCGTGTTGCAGGATCCTAGCCCTCTCTCACAACCTGTGTGCGCTACATGTGTTCTTGGACTGGAAGCAGGGAGCACTTCTAGCTCTGGGTGCAGCATGTAGCATAATGACACCCCTATGCTGAAGGCAAATGTAATTTAAGTCAGCGATGCTCAGTCCTGCCTGGCTCAGGAGCCACATAAACTGTCAGTGCTGACCAAAAAAGCCACAACAATTGGTATCCCCCGGGTGAGTTGGGGCAAAAGAAAAAGACTGCCTTTGAGTCTAGTAATACTTCCTGCTTGGTATGTCTATAACAGTACAAGAACTGTATGCACGCCTACTGCAAAAGCCAGAACACACTTGTTTTCAGCCACATCTGTTAAGAGCAGTGTTCTCTTACCAGCAACATTTACACAGGAACATTTTTTGTACCGTGTACTTAGGTGATGCTCTATAACAGAAACAGTATCTTAGGAGCAACACAGCATCAAGGCACTGACAGGTTGCTACTAATAGGAGTCAACTGTAATTGTACCATGATTGAAAGAGACAAGCATCCTCCTTGTTCCATTCTTCATGATTATTGGAAAGACGTGTCCAATGTACACAGCAAAAAAGAACCCCAAACCCTTTGATAACAGCTTCTGTGAAGAATCACAAGAGGTAAGTCACAAAGCCACTTATGGCTCAAGAGCCATGATGTGACTATAACTGATTTGAGTAATAAAATGAGAAGAGAGGCATGAACTCACAGGTCCTGGTAAAAACTGATGTGGTAAGCACAAGCAGGGCATGGAGAGAAATTCATATGACAGGCTAAGAATCACATTCTATATGGGAGGTCCCAGTGGAACAGATTCACTCCTCATGAATCTCCATAAAAATCAAGAGTTACAAGAGGGATGAACCTGATTCAAGCATGTGCCTAGCAGTAACATGTGGACAGTTCACTGAAAACATCAGCTCAGTGTTCAGTAGCTGTCAAAAAGGCAAATAAAATATTAGGGATTATTAAGAAGAGAATTGTAAACAAAAATGAAACTATCATTTTGCCCATTTATAAATCCACGGTGTGTCCAAACATTGAATACTGTGCCCAGTTCTGGTCCTCACATCTCAAAAAGAATATCAAAGAACCAGAAAAGGTAGAGAGAAGGACAACAAGAATGATTAGTGGTATGGAGCGGCTTTCATGAGGAGAGTGGATCCCAACCTCAGGGCACGACCCAAATCAGGGTCGCAGGGGATCCACCCCTCACTCTGCTCCGTCTGCCTGTGGGGCTCTCCTGCTGCACAGTCTGCATGGCTCTTGCCACTGCTGCCCCCCACAATCCTGGCCCGGTCTGGGCTCTGCTGGCGCTGCCAGGCATAAATGAGTCAGTGACAGGGGTTGCAACCTGGATTTAAGGTTGCAGCAAAAAAAAGGTTGGGAGCCACTAGTCTAAAGATTCTGGGCCTATTCAGTTTAGAAAAGAGATGTGTGAGGGGGGACATGATAAGTGTTTATAAAATATTAAATCCATAATGGTTTGGATTATGCCTCAGGCAGGAGGTCGGACTAGATCAGCGTTTTTCAATCCATGTGTCGTGACCCAAAAGTGGGTTGCAAGAATATATGAAAGGGTCATGAACAAACTTTAAAAATGGATTCTCCTTTAAGGGAGAAAAACATGGGAAACATGGGTTTTCCCTTGTAGTTTGGCAGAGTTCCAGCCTGCAAGGGGCTGCTTGAGGCCCCCCATGCCCCATCAACCCCCACAGAGGTTGGGAGTGAGGGGCACCAGCAGGACAGGGGGCTGTTTTCTACTTAAACTATTCACTGGGTCAGGACTGGCCATCAATGTTTACAAATGGGTCCTGGTACAAAAAAGGTTGAGAACCACCGGACTAGATGACCTATGGGGGCATCTATATACATGCTCCGGGGTGGGAAAGGGGGGCTTTAATTGGAGCAACTCTCAGAGCTGCTCTAATTAAAGCATTCGCAGCGTCACATGTATTCAGCGTCCCACACTTGAAAATGGCAGCGGAGGTGCTTTACCTAAAGCTCGTTTGACATCAGCAGACTCGCAGCCGACTCAATTAATTGAGTCTCTTCTGATGTGTGCTAATGTATGCCCAGATGTATTAGATTTAATATGCATTAACTAAAGCATGTTAATGCAAGTGTAGATGCACCCTGGAGATCCCTTCCAGGCTGACTTCTCTATGACTCCTGACTCCCAGTTCTCTCCACTAATCATTAGTTCTGTAAACACCAACCCTCCCTTTCCAGGGGCAAATTTTACAGCTTCCTTCTTCCATCCTCAGCACCCAATGCTCATAGCCTGCATGCACCCATGTGTAGGAAACTAGCTTGTAAATGGCAAAGAGAATGTAAATAGGAATTTATTATTTACTGTCTCTCACAATACAAGAACTAACGGTCACAAAATGAAACTGGTGGATACATCTATACATGCTATTAACACAACCAAATAAACTGTGGCACAGTTTGCACCGGAGCTTATTGCTCCTGGGCACAACATTTACATGTGCGCCTGGGACCTCAGCACATTGAGCTGGGGCAGCACAGTCCCAACTGGCAGGGGATGGGGGGTCAGCTTGCCAGCCTGGAGCTGATCTGCCCCTGCTCAACGTGCTGCAGAGGGGCTGGCTGGGCACAAGGATGCTTCAGTGCAGGGCTAGCCCTCATAAGCCTGCTGCAGGTTCAAGTGTATGACAAGGCTGTCAGCAGGCCTGCTGCAGCTGGCTTACTTTCGAAGTTGATGATGATGTACTGAAGACAGAGCTCAGTGAGGTGTGGTACAATGGCTAGGGACCACTCTGGATCCTCAGCAATGATCCGTCGCATGTGGCGGATGTTGGCTGCAGGGTTCACCACAGATGTTCGCACTGGGGGGGGCATCACACTGGTATCTCCAAGGACCGGCTCCTGCATCTTAACATGGGAGAATGAGGCTATCCCTTTTGATGAAGTGGAGGCACAGTCTGCTTCTGGCTGGCAGTCGCCAGTCGAATTTACAGTTGGCATTCTTAGAAGAAAGACAGTTGTGGAAAGGGCCAGCAGTCAAACCGTCTTCCTATTGCTAATTAAAACAAATAGAAACATTGTGACAAGATATTTACAAGCCATCACTCTGCTTACTTTGCTTGCATGAAATACGCCTTTTCCCTACCCTTTGTCTGTCTTAATTGTAAACTCTTCTGTGAAGCAACAGTCTGGTGTTCTTATATTTATATGGTACCTGACACTATAAAGCTGCTTGGTACTAGTGTAATTAAAGTAACAGATAAAGATAATAGTATGGTACTGCTACAAAGAGGTCTCAAACCTTTACAAGTGAAAACTCATGGGGACTGTATTCACTTCTAGGTACAATTGTTTCTCTGCCTTTCCTTTTGGCTTCTATCAGCGGATCTCATTGCTCTTCACAAGCATTCGTGAACTGTGCCTCCACAGTTCAGACCCTCAGAAAAATTACATACAAGAATCAGAAGACAGCAGCATACAGGACTCTGGACTCCTAGGGTATTATGTCTCGTGTTGTGTCAGGGTTGACCATAGTTTTACTAAGAGTTTAGATTATGGATTTGTATGGGATGGTTTGGATAGGGATGATCCTGCCTCAGGCAGGGGGTTGAAGTAGATAACCTCTAGAGGTCCCATTCAGCCCTACATCTCAGACTCCTGATTCTCAGTTCTCTCTGTTAACCGTTAGTTCTGTAAACACCAATCCTCCCTACCCATGGGCAAATCTTCCAGCTTTCTTCTCCCATTCTCTGCACTCGCTGTTCTTGGCCTGCACATACCCATGTGTAGGACACCAGCTTGTAAAGCACGTGGCTAAAACTCTCGATGAGAGACTTGAGTGAGGACAGCAAAGGATGGACTAGAAAGGAAGGGGCTTCATTTCTGCATCACGGATGCTGGGATGTGCCTTTCATGATTCAGCATTTCCAATGACAGTAATCTATACTAGTGAGCCTTTTTCTGAGCACCCCAGGTTATTCCAGCTGCTCAGGGGTTAAGAGGAAGATGAAGTACCTTCTTGACTGGGACTAATTGCTGTCCCTGCAACAGCTGGAGCTAGGAAGGCTGTAGCTTAGAAATGGAAAAGGCTCAGAACTGCCTTTTATTTGGAGGGACTTCAAGAGAGGGGTTTGCACAAGTACAGAAGAGAAGCAAGGGAAAGATGCTTTCTAATGAGAAGTCAGGCAGGGAGCGCTAAAGAAGGAATACAATTTTGCTGTAACTCCTTTCCATCAGATCCTTGCTTGGCTGCAGATAAATAAGTGAGTCTGGCTTCCCCCACTAGGCCGCACCAACAGGGCAACTAAAAATGTTAAGAGGCCATCAAGTGGTATGCTGAAAGGGGAGAGACAATTAGAGAGACAGCCTGAGTATAAGGAACCAGGCAGAAAAGAATGAATGACATTTGAAGGGAAAACTGAGAAAGTACAACTTGTGATGTCATCAAGAAGTGGTGCCATGGGCAAAGGTGACATTCCTGATAGACATATTTAGACCAGTGTGGGTAGAGTGCACATACCTTGCAGTCAGGTGCACTGGAGAGGGAAGTCCCTGTCTTCATTTGCACTAGGACTTGTTTTGGCACGGAGCTCGTGCTTATGCCAGAAATGAGCACTGGACTTGGATGAGATGTCCCTCCAAAAAGCCCTCCAGCAACATCTGGAAGGAACCTATAGACACATAGGATCCCAGGCCATGCTGTCCCGCCCGTGCATTTGTCTGGAACAGTGCTTTGATCCCACACAATTCTACCAGAACAGAGGGAGACGCAGATGCTGCTACCCAGATCAAGCTCATTATTTCTTTCCCCCTACATGAGATTACTCCATTTTCCTTTACACAAGCAATATGTGCTGGCTCAGTCAACATAAGCTCCTGTTTCTTTGAAACCTTTATAGTAGGCAGTTGGCTTTGATAGAAAGCCCTTCCAAAACTGTCTGAGGAAGCAACTGTTAAACAGCCAGCATAAAGGAAGAGAGGAGATCTATGAAATGTCAAAAAATAGAGTAAAACAAAAATGACTCATGTCAGACTGCAAAGAATGTGTCAGTAAATGCATCTTCAAATGTATTCATACCAAATGTTAGAGGAAAGTAATCAGTTAATAATGATAGTAGGGAACAGGAGATGAAAGATAAAGCCACGGCAGTTGGCTTTTGTCCTTTGGTCTTGAGAGAGGACAGAGGGTTGCTTAAGATATGGATTGTATCTCCTGATATATCTGTGTGAGAACATCAATGGCAATGGTAGTGAAAAGAGGAGGAGGAGGAGGACTGCACACCCAGGAAGAATCACAGAATGACAGGGTTGGGAAGAGACCTCAAGGGCCATCTAATCCATTGCCTCCTGCACAGCTGCAGGATGAGCTGTTCCTGTGCTATCCCAGATAAATACCCATTCGCCTCTTCTTGGAAACCTCCAATGAAGGAGATTCCACACGTATTTCAGACAATTTATTTCACGCCCTACTGTTCTGACAGTAATGCAGTGAAACTGTGGGAGTAGAGTGGGGTGACTACACCAAACAGGAGCTGGAAGAAATAGGGGGATGCAGTCTGAAGAGTCAGAAACAAAGAGTGAGAAAGGGTTTCTTCAAATAGCACAAAACACACAGGGGATTGCCAGGGCTGTCCAGATAGCTATCGCCAGTTGTGAGG